CTCACCAGAGAAGAAGGGTCGAGCAGCTCAGTAGGACAGCAACAGAGCAGCTCAGCAACTCCACCGGCCCAGGAGTAGCAGCAGTCCTACAGGATCCGGCTCCCGGCACCGTAGACGGATCGGGCAGCTCGGGCGGCTTGGGCGGCTCGGGCGGCTCGGGCGGCTCGGGCGGCTCGGGCGGCTCGGGCGGCTCGCGCGGCTCGGGCGGCTTGCGCGGCTCGGGTGACGCTGGGGCTCACGGGCGGCGCGGGCGGCTGCACGGGCGGTTCACGGGCGGCAGGGGGGGCTGCACGGGCGGCTGCACGGGCGGTTGCACGGGCGGTTGCACGGGCGGGTGCACGGGCGGCGCACAGGCGGCTGCACGGGTGGCGCGGCGGGCTGCAGCACGGGCGGTGGGGCCGCAATGGGGGCCGTAGCGGGGCTGCAGCGGGGCCTAAGCGGGGCCGTAGTGGGGCCGTAGCGGGGCCGACGACGGGCTGTAGCGGGGCCGTAGCAGGGTCGGCGGGGCCTAGGCGGGGCCAACGGGGGCCGTAGTGAGGCCGTAGCAGGGCCGTAGCGGGGCCTAAGCGGGGCCGACGGGGCCTAAGCGGGGCCGTCGGGGCCTAAGCAGGGCCGACGCGGGGCCATAGCGGGGCCTAAGCGGGGCCGACGGGGCCTAAGCGGGGCCGATGGGGCCTAAGCGGGGCCGACGCGGGGCCGTAGCGGGGCCAAAGCGGGGCCGACGGGGCCTAAGCGGGGCCAACGGGGCCTAAGCGGGGCCGACGAGGGGCCTTAGCGGGGCCTAAGCAGGGCCGAAGCGGGGCCGTAGGGGTAAAGCGGGGCCGCGACTAAAGGGCGGCCGGATCGCAAAGGGCGACACGCAGGGTCGCTAAAAAAAAAGAACGCGCGCCTCGGGGCGCGCTTCGGTGGGCCCTATGAACAGTCCATAGGAGGGGACCTGCTCTGATTCCATGAGAAGAATTGAACGAGAATGAAATGACTATGAACGAAGTGAGTACAAATAGGAAACCCTAATTGGGTTGTATCCCCTGTGGGATACCCCACTATAGCCTACACAAATAAGTAAGCTAAAATGTTCTGACACATCGGCCAGTCTGGCCGGCATTTCGCACTTATAGTGCAAGTGGGGCCAGGGAGAACGGATATACTCGTTTCTCAAAACGTAGAGGGAATCTAGCGGTCTCACTCGATCAAAAGGTGGGAAATACATAAATCTTGTGAGCTAATAAGGTTCGAAAGGAATCTAATGCATATGTATATGGAAAATGGTGCATTGGCCAGGTCGGTCAGTATGGGAACTTAGAGTGCAAATGCGTGGGAGAACGGAACCGCTTAGATCTCGCATAGTACACGGAATCTAGTGGTCTCACTCAAATATAAGGTAGGAAATATATTAATCGAGTGAACGTAAGGGTTTGAAAGGTAACTAATGCACATGTGTAGAGAAAATGGTGCATCGGCCAGTCTGGCCAACATTTCGCACTTATAGTGGAAGTGGGGTTAGGGAGAAGCGAAACGATTGTTTCTCAAAAAGTAGAGGGAATCTAGCGGTATCACTCATTTAGAAGGTGGGAAATATAAAAATCTAGTGAGCTAATAAGGTTCGAAAGGAATCTAATGCATATGTATATGGAAAATGGTGCATTGGCCAGGTCGGTCAGTATGGGAACTTAGAGTGCAAATGCATGGGAGAACGGAACCGCTCAGATCTCGCATAGTACACGGAATCTAGTGGTCTCACTCAAATATAAGGTAGGAAATATATTAATCGAGTGAACGTAAGGGTTTGAAAGGTAACTAACGCACATGTGTAGAGAAAATGGTATAGTACACGGAATCTAGTGGTCTCACTCAAATATAAGGTAGGAAATATATTAATCGAGTGAACGTAAGGGTTTGAAAGGTAACTAACGCACATGTGTAGAGAAAATGGTATAGTACACGGAATCTAGTGGTCTCACTCAAATATAAGGTAGGAAATATATTAATCGAGTGAACGTAAGGGTTTGAAAGGTAACTAACGCACATGTGTAGAGAAAATGGTATAGTACACGGAATCTAGTGGTCTCACTCAAATATAAGGTAGGAAATATATTAATCGAGTGAACGTAAGGGTTTGAAAGGTAACTAATGTGAAACAGAATAAACAGGAATGAAATGACTAAGTCAGAGTTGGGTACAAATACAACCCTAGAAAGCTGTACCCCATATGTGCTACCCCACTATAGCCTACAAACATGCATCAGCTATAATAATCTGACACACCCCCATAGGCAAAGTGGGGGAGAACAAGGGGTCACAAGACCAGTCAAGCAAAGCAAGCTCAGGGTGGATCACAAAGTCACCACACAGTCCGAGCACAAGAGCACGGCCAGAGGCCAGCTCACATGCAGAAGTACAGACATATATATAAAACTAGACAAGCAAGAGCAGGTATATATATGTCACAGTACAAGTAAAGTCAAGAAGAGAGCAAGTGAGGCAAGACAGGCACAAGACCCAGCTGGGTGCAGAAGCGCTGATGGTCACAAGGCGCGAGTGCCTTGGTGAACACATCAGCAGTGTTGGCCTCAGAGGCCACGTACGCAAGTCGCAACTGACCACGCTGCTGCAGCTCACGAGCAAGGAAGTAGCGGAGAGCAATGTGCTTCGTTCTGTGCTCCAAGCGCTGCTCTCGACACAAGGCCAGCATGGCCTTGTTGTCTACGTACAGCACTGGAGGAGAACGAGGCGGCTCTCCAAGGTCAGTCAGCAGGTAGGTGAGCCAGCGAAGCTCCTGTGCAGCCATGGCCCCGGCGTAGATCTCAGCCTCACAACTGGAGCCGAGAACCGAAGACGAGCGAGTAGACCGCCACGAGACAGAGCCGGAACCAAGGCTGAAGGTGTAACCCTGTGACGACCGCTGCGTGGCCTGGTCGTCAGCCCAAGAAGCGTCCGCGTGGCCTGTAAGGACCACTGGACTCCGCCCTCCAAGCACTAGCCCCATGCCCGACGTACTGCACAGGTAGCGCAATACCCTCTTCGCTGCAGCCATGTGCTCTGGTCGGTGTCTCCCAGGAGCAACATAGCGTGCAAGGATGCTCAGAGGGTATGCAAGGTCAGGTCGTGTGCAGGTCATCAGGTACATGAGGCAGCCAACAAGCTCTGCATACGGACCACTCGACTCTACGGACTCATCCGAAGGCAGAGCTGAGAGTGAGTGGCGAGTAGGCAGAGGAGTGGCCTGAGGCGAGGAGTACGTGAAGCCGAAGCGCTGAAGGACCTGCTGCACCATGTGTGACTGAGTCAGGGTAATGGTGCGGCGTGCTCTGTCCCGAGTGATTTGCAAGCCAAGGTAGCTACGCAGTTCACCCAGGTCTGTGCACGTGTGTCTCTTCAGCAGCTCGGACTTCACGTAGACCAAGTCGTCGACGTACACGAGGATGTAGAACGGCGGCAGGGAAGTGTCGGTGCGAAGAAACAGCGACGGGTCAGCAGTAGAAGGAGCAAACCCAAGAGCCGCAAGCGTAGTCCTCAGTGTGTCGTGCCACTCACGCGGTGCCTGGCGGAGACCGTAGACTGGCCGTCGGAGGCTCCACTGGGTGCCAGGAGGGAAAGTCCCAGTGAAGCCAGGCGGACGGCGCAGCCAGATCTCCTCGTGCAGGCTACCCTGCAGGAACGCAGTGCTGAAGTCGAGAGAGTGAAGCTCGTAGTCGCGCTGAGCGGCAATGTGCAGCAGCACCCGAAGAGTGGTCATCTTCGGGGTGGGAGAGAAGGTCTGAAAGTAGTCAACTCCCTGCCGCTGACTAAAGCCACGAGCCACGTAACGCGCCTTGAAGACAGGCGGAGAGCCCGGCGGCCGCTTCACCCTGAAGATCTACATGCCACTGACGATGTTCGCCCCAGGAGGGGGAACCGCGTCAACGTAGGTGCCTGTGGACTTCCAGGAAGCCATCTCTGCATCCATAGCTGCCTGCCACTGAGAGGAGTAGGGACCCTCTACGGCCTCCGCGTAAGAACGCGGAGTCGGGATGTCTAGTGCATCCGGGTCTCCCTCAGGGGCAAGCAGTACAGACGCGAGATGAGGTGAAGCAGCCGCTAGACACTGGAACTCCTCCTGCCTGTCCTCTAGGACGTCCGTGCCAAGAGCACACTCACCCCCGACGGACGGAGGACAGACAGACACAGACTCAGCAACTAGACTAGCAGCGTAGTCTAAGCGACAGCGAGCAGCAAAGTCGACGAGCTCAGTGACTAGGGCAGACGCAGCAGAAGACTCGAAAGAAGTGTCGGTGACCACAGTAGCAATGAAACGCGTGACAGTAGGACTGGCAGCACGAAGAGAGTCCGACGCAGGGTCGGCAAGCGCAGGAAGATAGGACGCAGGAGGAGAAGGCAAAGGGGCACGTAGAGGAGCAGTGGACGGACGCAAAGACATCTGGTGCGTGCCAGGGACAGGAGGAGGACGCTGACGCGAACCGCGACCACTAGCGCGAGCAGGACGAACAGGCGACGCGGGACGAGACGCGGGCTCACGGCGCTCAGCAAGACCTCCAGTAGGACCAGTGTAAGGAGAGGGAGCAGGCAGTGGAGAGGAGGGCTCCAGGAGGGACTGCGACTGGACAGGCGGTGGACCCTCTACTGGAGGAGAAAGACCAAGAACCTGCTGCAGGAGCGGAACGAAGTACGGTCGAGGCCGCGCAGCAACTCCAGACACAGCAGGGACAGCACCAGCACCCTCAGCGACAGCACCAGCGCCACCAACACCTCCAGCGGCAGGACCAACAGGAGTAGTCTCAGCACCAACACCCTCAGCAGCTCCAGCTCCAGGAGGACCCGCAGGCCCAGCAGCTCCAGGACCGGCAGTACCAGCACCCTCGTCGGTCGAAGAAGCTCCAGCTCCAGCTCCAGTAGCACCCCCAGACTCAGCAGCACGTCTCCAGCAGCGAGCGAACCAGTCGCGCAGCACCTGTGGAGAGAGGGGCTCCCGGCGAGGCGGAGCAGCAGGAGAAACCCCAGGCTCAGCACCTCCAGACGTAGCACCCTCAGGCTCTGCAGCTCCCAACTCAGCACCCCCAGGCGCAGCAGCTCCCGACCCAGCACCCCTAGACCCAGCACCCCCTAGCTCAGCAGCTCCAGGCACAGTATCCCCCGGCTCAGTACCCCCAGGCTCAGCACCCTCCGCAGTAGCACCCCCAGGCCCAGCACCCCCAGGCCCAGCACCCTCAGGCCCAGCACCCCCAGGCTCAGCACCCCCAGTTGCAGCACCTCCAGGCTCGGCACCCCCGCGCACAGCACCCCCAGAGTCAGCACCCCCTGGCTCCGCACCCGCAGCAGCACCAGAGTCGCCAGTAACCTCGACCGGGTCAACGGCGTCTACCTGGGACACACCTGAGGGAGCAAGAACCTGAGGGGGAAGGGGGTCTACCGGGGGGGGAACCGGCACAAGGAAGTCCGGGGGAGGGGGGAGGGAAGGAGTGCGGTAGGGGAAGAGACGGTAGAAGGGGACTGACTCGTCGAACGTGACGTCCTGGGAGGACAGAACACGACGAGAGGAGGGGTGGTAAAACTGCCACCCTGGGGCGTCAGTGGGGAAGCCAAGGAAGACACAGGGAGCAGCACGAGGGGACAGCTTGTCCGCAGACAAGTCGCGGACAAACGCCCGAGATCCCCAGACGCGAAACGCAGACGCATCGCCAACCTTCCCCGTCCACAGCAAGGCTGGGGACATCGCAGGCCGAGAGACCCGCGGGTGAAGGTTGAGCTGATGCGCCGCGTACCTCACCGCAAACGGCCACAGAAAATGGGGGGCAGCCGCATGCATCATGGACGTACGAGCAACATCCATGACCATGCCAATGCGGCGCTCAGCAATCCCATTTTGCTGTGGTGAGTCCGGAAGCGTGAAGGTCTGGCGGATCCCCCGTGCACGACAGTAGTCTTGCAGAAGGCGAGAGGAGAACTCTCCGCCTCTGTCCGAGTGCAGACGCAGAACAGGAAAGTCAGAGCCGAAGCTCTTCCTGAGCTGGAGACGAGCCTTGCGGATCCAGTCGATCAGCACCTCAGTGACAGCACCCTTGCTGCGCAAGGGGAGGACTGTGGTGTAACGCGAGTAGTCGTCAACCACCAACAGGAAGTAGCGCTCGTAACCCTGCCCACGGACGGGGGCTGGGCCCCACACATCCATGTGAAGCGTCTGCAGGGGAGCCTCTGTCGGGGGGAAGTGGGAGGAGTGAGGAGTAGCCCGGAGGCGACCCTCGACACAGGGGACACAGGAAGGCCCTGGCACGGGGGGGGGAGGAGGGAGAGACCGGGGAAGACCAGAGACTAGGACACGGGAAGCCATGCTCCGAAGACGGGCCAAGGAGGGGTGGCCAAGACGGTGGTGCCACAGGAGAGTCTCGTGAGACAGGAGGCGACAGGAACAGGGGGCAGACTCAGGACCTGACCGGGACGCAGCAGCAAACACCTGACCTGACGCAGCTACCCGACCGGACGCAGGGACAGGAGGACACGAAGTGGTCAGGGTGTAGAGACTCGACCCCGACCGACGCGAAAAGGTGGCCAGGTGTCGGCCTGTGCGTGCGTCCGTGCAGTGGGTCACCCGCTGACTCGCAGGAGTGAACTGGTGAACCCCCGCATCCTGCAGGGCTGCACCACTCACCAAGTTCGTAGAGAACGAGGGAAGGTACAGACCAGACAGGGTGCCCGAAGGGGCAGCCGGACACGGGAGGACAGTGGAGAAGTGAGACAGGACAGGACCCCCAGAGGGGTCAGCAAGGGAGACCGCAACCGGCCGGCCAAGCGGCGTGAGGGTAGTGCGGTCTCGAAAGAAGGAGCGAGAAGCCCCAGAGTCAAGCGTGAAAGTGAGGGAGGACGAGGGCGACGCAGTACCTGAGAGCGCAGTCTCACCAGTACCTGAGAGCGCAGTCTCACCAGCACCTGAGAGCACAGTCTCACCAGGACCTGAGAGCGCAGATGCACTGGCACCTAGAGCAGCAGCCTCACAAGCACCTAGCGCAGCAGTACCAATGCCCGGGTCGGGCTGGAAACACCGGTAACCCTCATTCTCCTCACTATAAGTCACAGCATACATAGCAGCAAGGATAGCATCAAAATCAAGGTCAAAGATCGCTACACCAGCCCTAAGGAGCTCATCCCAGCGAGGGATCTCACTAGCCCCAGGGAACTGTTGAGGCCAAGCGTCCGTCAGGCGGCCAAAGCAGCGCTGGGTGGAGTGGGCACCCCCACACTGCTCACCCGCGCGGTCGCCGGAACGAAGAACGTAGGTGCAGGGACCAGTACCCCCACCCCTCTGACGCCCAGCGTACCACTCACGAAGCTGCTGAGGCGGAGGGATGTCCCGCGAGCGCTGCTGCTGCTGCCGCTGCGAGCGCTGGCCACCACCACCGCCGCTACGCTGCTGGGTACCACCGCGACCAGCTCCACCTCCTCCACCACCACCGCCTCCTCCGCTGCCGCCTCCACCGCCTCCACCTCCGCCGCCTCCACCCCCGCCGCTGCCTCCACCACCACCGCTGCCACCACCACCACCGTCTCCGCCGCAGCTGCCACCACCACCACCACCCCCGCCACTAGTCCCGCCGCCACCCCCACTCCCTCCGCCGCCACCGCCGCCACCGCCCCCTCCAGCTCCACCCGCGCCCTTGCCCCCCTTGCCCTTGCTGGAGCGACGTCTGAGAAAGTATGAACGAGAAGTAAGTGACTATAAAATGAAGTGGGTACAAATAGGAAACCCTAATTGTGTTGTACCCCCTATGGGATACCCCACTATAGCCTACAGAAACAAGTAAGCTATATGTTCTGACACACCCCCATAGGCAAAGTGGGGGAGAACAAGGGGTCACAAGACCAGTCAAGCAAAGCAAAGCAAAGCTCAGGGTGGATCACAAAGTCACCACGCATTCCGAGCACAAGTTCAAAGGCCAGAAGGCCAGTTCACATGCAAGATCATGTATAGAGATATACAAGAGTCAAGCAAGCAAGAGCAAGAGTATATATAGGCGAAGGTACAAGCAAGGTCAAGAGGAGAGCAAGTGAGGCAAGACAGGCACAAGACCCAGCTGCGTGCAACAGCGCTGATGATCACAAGGCGCAAGTGCCTTGGTGAAGACATCAGCAGTGTTGGCCTCAGAGGCCACGTACGCAAGTCGCAACTGTCCACGCTGCTGTAGCTCACGAGCAAGAAAGTAGCGGAGAGCAATGTGCTTCGTTCTGTGCTCCAGTCGCTGCTCTCGACACAAGGCCAGCATGGCCTTGTTGTCTACGTACAGGACTGGAGGAGAACGAGGCTGCTCTCCAAGGTCGGTCAGCAGGTAGGTGAGCCAGCGTAACTCCTGTGCAGCCATAGCCCCAGCGTAGATCTCAGCCTCACAACTGGAGCCGAGAACAGAAGACGAGCGGGTAGCCCGCCACGAGACAGAGCCGGAACCAAGGCTGAAGGTGTAACCCTGTGACGACCGCTGCGTAGCCTGGTCGTCAGCCCAAGAAGCGTCTGCGTGCCCAGTGAGGACCACTGGACTGCGCCCTCCAAGCACTAGCCCCATGCCCGACGTACTGCACAAGTAGCGCAACACCCTCTTCGCTGCAGACATGTGCTCCGGTCGGTGTCTCCCAGGAGCAACAAAGCGTGCGAGAATGCTAAGAGGGTATGCGAGGTCAGGTCGTGTGCAGGTCATCAGGTACATGAGGCAGCCAACAAGCTCTGCAAACGGGCCACTCGACTCTACGGACTCATCCGAAGGCAGAGCTGAGAGCGAGTGGCGAGTAGGCAGAGGAGTGGCCTGAGGCGAGGAGTACGTGAAGCCGAAGCGCTGAAGGACCTGCTGCACCATGTGTGACTGAGTCAGGGTAATGGTGCGGCGTGCTCTGTCCCGGGTGATCTGCAAGCCAAGGTAGCTGCGCAGTTCACCCAGGTCAGTGCACGTGTGTCTCTTCTGCAGCTCGGACTTCACGTAGGCGAGTCCAGCAGTGTCAGCTGTGGCAAAGACCAAGTCGTCGACGTACACGAGGATGTAGAACGGCGGCAGAGAGGTGTCGGTGCGCAGAAACAGCGACGGGTCGGCAGTAGAAGGAGCAAACCCAAGTGCCGCGAGCGTAGTCCTTAGTGTGTCGTGCCACTCACGTGGCGCCTGGCGGAGACCGTAGACTGGACGCCGGAGACTCCACTGGGTACCAGGAGGGAAAGACCCAGTGAAGCCAGGAGGGCGGTGCAGCCATATCTCCTCGTGCAGGCTGCCCTGCAAGAAAGCTGTGCTGAAGTCGAGAGAGTGCAGCTCGTAGTCACGGTGAGCAGCAACGTGCAGCAGAACCCGAAGAGTGGTCATCTTCGGGGTGGGGGAGAAGGTCTGAAAGTAGTCAACCCCCTGCCGCTGACTGAAGCCACGAGCCACGTAACGCGCCTTGAAGACAGGCGGAGAACCCGACGGCTGCTTCACCCTGAAAATCCACATGCCACTGACGATGTTCGCCCCAGGAGGGGGAACAGCGTCAACGTAGGTGCCTGTGGACTTCCAGGAAGCCATCTCTGCATCCATAGCTGCCTGCCACTGAGAGGAGTAGGGACCCTCTATCGCCTCCGCGTAAGAGCGCGGAGTCGGGATGTCTGGTGCATCCGGGTCTCCCTCAGGGGCTAGCAGTACAGACGCGAGACGAGGTGAAGCGGCGGCCAGACACTGGAACTCCTCCTGCCTGTCCTCAAGGACGTCCGTGCCAAGGGCACACTCACCCCCGACGGACGGAGGACAGGCGGACTCAGATTCAGTGACAAGACGAGCAGCGTAGTCGAGACGACAGCGCGCAGCAAAGTCGACAAGCTCAGTGACAAGGGCAGACGCAGCAGACGACTCGAAGGAAGGGTCAGTGACAGCAGTAGCAAGGAGACGCGTGACAGTAGGACTGGCAGCACGAAGAGAGTCCGACTCCGGGTCGGCAAGAGCAGGAAGAGAGGAAGCAGGAGGAGAAGGCAAAGGGGCACGCAGAGGAGCAGTGGACAGACGCAGCAACATCCGGTGCGTGCCAGGGACAGGAGGAGGACGCTGACGCGAACCGCGACCACTAGCGCGCGCAGGACGAACAGGCGACGCAGGACGAGACGCAGGCTCACGACGCTCAGTAAGACCTCCAGTCGGACCAGTGTAGGGAGAAGGAGCAGGCAAAGGGGAGGTAGGCTGTAGCTGTGGCTGTGACCGGACAGGCTGCGGACCCTCTAAGGGAGGAGGAGGAGGTGTAAGACCACGAACCTGCTGGAGGAGCGGAACGAAGTACGGTCGGGGCCGCGCGGCGACGCTAGAAACAGCAGGAACAGCACCAGCAGCCCCGGCAGGAGCACCCACTCCAGCAGCACCTCCAGCAGCACCACCAGAAGCTCCAGAACCTCCAGCAGCAGCACCAGGAGAACTGGCAGTCGGACCGCCAACGGCAGGCTCAGCTCCAACACCCTCAGCAGTGCCAGCTCCAGGAGAACTCTCAGACCCAGCAGCTCCAGCACCCAAAGTACGAGCACCGTCGGGACGCGCGACAGCAGTACCGTCTGCAGCCGAAGAACCACCAGCACCAGCAGCACGCCTCCAGCGCCTGGCAAACCACTCACGCAGCTCCGGTGGGGAGAGTGGCTCCCGGCGAGACGAAGCACCCCCAGGCACAGCACTCCCAGGCTCAGCACCCCCAGGCTCAGCACCCCCAGGCACAGCACCCCCAGGCTCAGCACCCCCAGGCTCAGCACCCCCACGCTCTGCACCCCCAGACTCCGCACCCCCAGGCTCGGCACCTCCAGGCTCAGCACCCCCAGGCACAGCACCCCCAGGCTCAGCACCCCCAGACTCGGCACCCCCACGCTCTGCACCCCCAGACTCCGCACCCCCAGGCTCAGCTCCGGCAGCAGCACCAGAGTCACCAGTGACCTCGACAGGCTCGACCGCGTCTACCTGGGACTCACCTGAAGGGGCAGGACCCTGAGGGGGGAGGGGGACTACCGGGGGGGGACCTGGTACCAAGAAGAGCGGGGGTGGGGGGAGGGACGGAGTGCGGTAGGGGAAGAGGCGGTAGTAGGGTACCGACTCGTCGAACGTGACGTCCTGGGAGGACAGAACACGTCGAGAGGTGGGGTGGTAGAACTGCCACCCAGGAGCGTCGGGGGGGAACCCCAGGAAGACGCAGGGAGCAGCGCGAGGGGACAGCTTGTCCGCAGACAAGTCGCGGACAAACGCCCGAGATCCCCAGACCCGGAACGCCGACGCATCGCCAACCTTCCCCGTCCACATCAAGACTGGGGACATCGCGGGCCGAGAGACCCGGGGGTGAAGGTTGATCTGATGCGCGGCGTACCTGACCGCAAACGGCCACAGAAAATGGGGGGCAGCCGCATGCATCATGGACGTACGAGCGACGTCCATGACCATGCCAATGCGGCGCTCAGCAATCCCATTCTGCTGTGGTGAGTCCGGAAGCGTGAAGGTCTGACGGATGCCTCGCGCACGACAGTAGGCACTCAGGAGGCCAGAGGAGAACTCTCCGCCTCTGTCCGAGTGCAGACGCAAAACAGGGAAGTCAGAGCCAAAGCTCCTCCGAAGCTGGAGACGAGCTGCGCGGATCCAGTCGATCAACACCTCAGTGACCTCACCCTTGCTGCGCAAGGGGAAGACTGTGGTGTAACGCGAGTAGTCGTCAACCACCAGCAGGAAGTAGCGCTCCTGACCCTGTCCACGGACGCGGGCTGGGCCCCACACGTCCATGTGAAGCGTCTGCAACGGGGCCTCTGTCGGAGGAAACTGGGAGGAGTGAGGGGCAGCACGCTGGCGCCCCTCGACACAGGGGACACAAGCAGGGCCAGGGCCCGGAGGAAAGGGAGGGAGGGACCGGGGAAGACCAGACACAAGGACTCGCGAGGCCATGCCTCTGAGCCGAAGCAGAGAGGGGTGGCCAAGGCGGTGGTGCCAGAGGAGGGTCTCGTGAGACAGACGACGACACGAGCAGGGGGCAGACTCAGGACCTGACCTGGACGCTGCAGCAAACACCTGACCAGACGAAGGGACCCTACCAGACGTAGTACCTGGAGGAGAAGCAGTGCTCAGTGTGTACAGGCTCGACCCTGGCCGACGTGTAAACGTAGCCAGGTGGCGACCTGTATCCGCCTCAGTGCAGTGAGTCACCCGCTGACGAGCTGGGGTGAACTGGTGGACACCCGCATCCTGGAGGTCAGCACCACTCACCAAGTTCGTCGAGAACGAGGGGAGGTAGAGACCAGTCAGGGTGCCAGAGGGGGCCGCCGGACACGGGAGGACAGTGGAGAAGCGAGACAGGACAGGCCCCCCAGAGGGGTCAGCCAGGGACACCGCAACCGGCCGACTCAGCGGCGTGAGAGTGGTGCGTTCCCTAAAGAAGGAGCGAGACGCTCCAGAGTCAAGGGTGAAGGTGTGAGAGGCCGAAGCCGACACAGTACCTGAGAGGGCAGACTCACCAGCACGTGAGAGCACAGACGCACTGGCACCTAGAGCAGCAGCCTCACTAGTACCAGACGTGGCAGTACAAATGCCCGGGTCGGGCGGGAAACACCGGTAACAGTCATCCTCATCACTACCAGTCACAGCATACATAGCAGAGAGAATAGCATCAAAATCAAGATCATAAATGGCTACACCAGCCCTAGACAGCTCCCCCCAGCGGGGGATCTCAGCGGCCTCCGGAAACTGCTGACGCCAGGCGTCAGTCAAGCGGCCAAAACAGCGGCGGGCTGTGTGGGTGCCTCCACACCTCTCCCCCGCACGGTCGCCAGTGCGAAGAACGTAGGGGCAGGGACCAAACGCACCACCACGCTGACG